TTTAATATTTTTAATGTTTGTTTAATATTTATATTAACGTTCTTTAAAAAAGAAATGTGGATCACTTAAAGAAAATAATAAATTTTACCAAAGTCCAAAATAATAAAAGCACATAGGTATATGTGTACTTCAAAAAATTTGTAAAAAAATAGAATTAAAAGATAATACAAGTCTTTCTGTGAACTTTGTAAAGACTACTCATATAAGTCACTGAGAGTATTTGAGATTAGGTGGCCGGTGCCTTCACAGGTGTTAAAATTTTTTCTAGCAAAGATGAAAAGAGGCTTTGAATAACAGGAGAAACATCATCTCAATCCTGGCAGGAAGATTCAGTGACTCAAAGCTGTGAAAACGTCCACTCTCCACAAATAGAGCTACAATGTTAATGCGATGCCAGTGAAGACCCTCGTGTTCTGTTGTTGGTGGGGGACAGGAGTGACAAAATAATTCAACAGCTTCCCTGGCAGAAAAAAATGGGCAAGATTAGGCAAAGACATTTTGGAAATAAAGAGTAATGATAGGGTTCTTATCTTAATGGATGTTAAAATTTATTNAGCGACGGGGGCCGCACGGCCCACCTTGAACTCCTCCCGGACGCGCTCCTCCAGGGCTTGGGCGGCCTTGCGGTCTTCCATCTCCCCCTTCCACTTCTCGGCCAGGATCCGGGCCTTCTCGTGGGCCAGCGCGTCCCGAAACCGCTTGCTGATCTCTGCCTCCTTCTGTCGCCTTTGGGAAGAGCACCAGCAGGTGTGAGCTTGCGTGAAAAACCGAAGGGCCACCAAACTTCAGATACAAACAGAGAGCCGTCTTGCCTTGGTCTATCAGAACGGCAAATATCAAAGGTCAAAAACTCAGTGTTGGCAGAATGGGGAGAAACGGGCACTCCCACGTACGAGAGGCACCTTGGCAGAATCATTCTGACAGCCAGGAGAAAAGGAACCCCATTTCCCACCCAAGTGCACAAAGGTGTATGTAAAAGATATCCATCAAAGGATCTTTTTAACATAAAGGATGGTAAACAACCCAAATGCCCATCAATAGACCAATGAGTCGGGTTTCTCATGTACTAGAACCCTGTATAGTAACCTTAAATAGCATTGTGGTTCTCCATTAATCAGCTTATCTACGTTTACAAAGCACGTATCACCTAAATGCTCACCATGGTTATCTTGTTCTCATGTACTAGAACCCTGTATAGTAACCTTAAATAGCATTGTGGTTCTCCATTAATCAGTTTATCTACGTTTACAAAGCACGTATCACCTAAATGCTCACCATGGTTATCTTGGGTGGTGGCTGTGGGTTATTCTTTAATTTATTCTTCACAGTTTTTAGTGTCGTATACATGTTTTTACAATTTTACAATTAAAACACTGTCACTAAAAGTCATGAGGGGGGGAATGTTACAGTCAACTTCACATGGATTTCAAGTTAGGTGAAAAAAATGTTAAAAGCAAGACGTCTGACTCCCAACCTCACTGAGGGCTCAACTGCGCATCTCGTGTGAGAACCACAGGTACCACGAAGAGGAACAAGCAGATAAGAAAAGTGAAGCTAAAGTGCTGTACTGTCCCGGTGACAACCCAGTGGGGGAGAAAGCGAAAGCATGTGTGCTGTCTCGGTGATCCCAGACCACACCATACGGAACGGGTGTTGTTATGCCCACAGCACAGATGTGGAAACTGAGGCCCCAGATCAGTTAACTACTAATCGGTGGAGCCAGATTTGAACCCACAGATTTACCTGATGCTTTGATCACCAGATCTCAGCAGAGCTCAAAACAGCCAGCCAGCTTGACTGGCACCTCCTTCCTCCCACCCACAACCAATTGCCCTTAGCTTGTGCCCACCCAAGGCTCCTGCTCAGGCCCCGTGCAACACCCCCTTGCACCCCTCACCAGAGCTCCTCGGCCTCCCTCCGTGCCTGCAGCCGCGCCCTCTCTGCAATCAGCTCCTCAGAGATCTCTTCATAGGGCTTGTCGCCAGGGCCTTCTCCCATGATCCAGACCCAGACCTCGCCATCTGCCCCCAGGAGCCACTGGATGTGCTTGTCACTTGCTGCCTCACAAGGGACAGAGGAACAAAGGAAGAAGAAGAAACAGGTTTGATTTCCAATTAGTCAGGAATGACCTAAGCAGGCCAACGGTACAGAGCCATCGCACCACTCAACACAACGCTGTCATCTACAAAGAGGATTCCGCAAGATACCGGCCTGCGAGCAGGCCCATGACCACCTCTGCCTCCGTCCCCCGCTAGGGAGCAGCACGACAGCCAGGCTAGCCTGCAAGGGCAGGTGCCTGAGGCCGAGCTCTCCTGAGACCTTCAGCAGAGAGAACATCCAGTGACAGTGACTCTCTGAAGGAAGTGACTTGTGTCACTCCCAGGCCGAGGCCACTGGGAACTGGTGAGCCCTCTGTGCTCTCTCTCCCTCCTGTCCACTGGCTGGAAACAAGGAACCAGATCTAGTGGAGGTGCGGGATGGAGCAGCCTGCGGCCAAGTCTTCATGGCCCACGTCACACTGTAACATGAGCAAGAAGCAAACCTGTGCTACATTCAGCCACTGAGACTTCTCGGTTTTCCTACTGCAATAGATTTCATTGACTACCACGACTGAAATGGAAATCTATCCCAAAAGTAGGGTGCTGCTAAAACAGAAATATAAACTACATGTCGTTGCCCCGGCAGGTGGGTGGTCAGGGATGTTGAGCATGCCAAGCAGCTGGGGATCCATGTTACGCCGGAGGAAAACACCCAGTAAAGATGTCAGACACTGTCACTTAAAAGGCAGATGCTATGCTTTCCTAACTTGTCCTTCTAAGGGGAGAGGTTGAAAAATAGGACGTTAGTAATGTGTGTGGGTTGCAGTGGCTGTGTTCGGCAAGGTGGTAAGAAAAAGAAGTGAGTTCAAGAAAGAATTGAGTGCTTTGCAAGTAGAAATAAATGGGAATATAGAATTTGGGACTTTGTAGGACTAAAACACCATCTCATCTTTGTCTAGGGCCCTAATTGCAAGAGATGGAATTTTTAAATGTTTTAAATGTTTTGCATGACAGAGCCCAGCACAACTTGTAAGATGAATAGAGTGACCTAGGGCACAAAGCACGTGGTGGCACGAGAGTGTGCTCCAGCGACTTCCAACTACGTCTAGGGCCCTAATTGCAAGAGATGGAATTTTTAAATGTTTTAAATGTTTTGCATGACAGAACCCAGCACAACTTGTAAGATGAATAGAGTGACCTAGGGCACAAAGCACGTGGTGGCACGAGAGTGTGCTCCAGCGACTTCCAACTCCGGGAAGGATGATTAAGCAAGCGCTCTAGCTCCTGGGCTCCTGTGTTTGCCCAGAGCCAGAACCTGCCCCAGCCTTTGTCTGGGCATGCCAAGCACATTCCTGGGAGACGTCCGACTCCTCGCCCAAGGACTGCATGCTTTGCCTGCGTGGCTGCCTGGGACGCCTCCACCCAACCTCCCTCCCCTATCTCCTTCACGCACGGTCAGCTTTGCATTGCAGCGTGATGGCTCTCCCCACCCTTTTTTTCTCAAAGGCATTTTCCTTAATAAAACCCTTGCATGTTTAATCCCAAACTTGTCTCTGCAACTAAGAGAAACCAGACTATCATAAGCACATTAAGACTGTTACCTCTCACACTTATTTTTACAAAAAGCATCAAGGTAGAAGCCCCTTAGGTGAAAGAGAGAAGCACAGGGGTAAAGAGGGGAGAAAAGTAATGTCAATTTGAGAAATATGTCCAGGAAGGGAATTCAGATGTTGCTACTGGGACATGGAAGTAAACAGAGGAGAAGCCTCCTGTGTTTCTGAGTCTAGACTAAAAGCCTTTGATTATCCAAGACTTAAACAAGCCTTACGCACCCAGCTTTGATGAAGAGCAGGCAGGTTCCACAGGCTGTACTGGTCTAAGGACGAGGTGACCCTCAACATTCATTTTAGATGAGACGAGAGGAGTCACAGCCAAGGAGGAGCCTCCTCAAGAGCAGAGTCAGGTCCACTCGAGGAACCCCCTTCACTGCTGGAATGCTGTAGATAGTGACCGTGGGGCTCACGTTCTTCCCTTTCCAAAGGTCAGTTTCCACTGCAGATGTCCTGACCTTGCTCCAGCACCATATATTTTCTTAAGGGTGAAGGACGTTTCGATGACATGTCTTTTTAGCACCTTCAGACCTGACAGAGACTAATGCAGGAGAACACTGGAGACTGAACTTGGAGCTGGGTACAGTGACTAGATAGGACCCAAAGGTGTCCCCTTTAAGGAGGTGGTAAGTGTGTCTTAATTGGAGCAGAAGAATGAAACGTGCAGATGCCCAGAATGACCGTTTGTGACACTGCTGTGTCCGCCTCCCCGTTTCCTCTTCCTGAGCCCACAGATGACTACATTCCTCAGCTTTCCTTCAGTTCCGTGGGACAAGATGACTGAAGTCTAGTCTACGGAATGTTAGGGGCAGTGATTTGCGCCACTTTCAGGCTGAGCCTTTTGGTAGTTGGTGTGTCTTTTCCATATTCTCTGTCTCATCCACCCAGCTGGAAATAAATGACTC